TTTTTATTTCCTGTTTCGTAACAATGACATTGTTTTTCTTTTTTTTAATTATTTAAACGATTTACTTGTCCACCGCGAAGATCGAGCAAGGCGCGAGCACAGCTCTGACCTCGATCGATGGTCGATCGAAAGCATGATCACCGGCGTTCTTTCGGTCAGCAGTGTATCGAGATCGGCAGGCAGGATTTCTCGAGGGATGAAGCAGCGGGTCGTACGAAAACTCTGACGCGTGGGGCGACGATGTTAAAGTCATTTCTGTGCAATCTATCAGTGCCATCTATAGATCGATGGAAGAATAATTAATTAAAGTACTCGAAATAATAATAATAATATTAATAATAATATTTATTTGGTCAACGTGAGAGAAGGTCGCTGTATTACAATAATATGACAATTCGTCGCAGAGGTAGCATAACAGAAAGAAAAATAAGTAAGAGAATAAAAAGATACAATAGACGATAAAATCAGTGATCAAGATGATTAAATAAAGCACAAAATTGGGATGAAAATAAAGGATAATACATATTAGAATAAATAATATAAATAATGTAAATAATATAAGTAATATAAATAATATAAATAATGTAAATAATGTAAGTAATATAAGTAATATAAATAATATAAATAATGTAAATAATGTAAATAATATAAGTAATATAAATAATATAAACAATGTAAATAATGTAAGTAATATAAGTAATATAAATAATATAAATAATGTAAATAATGTAAATAATGTAAATAATGTAATTTAATGTAAATAATGTAAATAATGTAAATAATATAAACAATACAAATAATGTTACAATACGAACAGTATAAATAATATAATAAATAATACAGAGAGCTTATGCAGGAAAAAAACGATATATTAAGAACGAAAAAGTGCTAATCAACGGAATCATGAGGTTTGTTCTCGAGGATAATTATAGTTCGCTGATTTTTACCCAGAGGATCAGGAACTGCCAACCAGCCGGTGACATGTTAGGTCGTCTGTCCGTGAAATCATTCTTGGACGCAGGCCCGCAGCCTCGAATTGTCAGCCGATTCAAACGCGATGGGAAACGAGGAAACTGGTACCATTAACGGGCAGATGAATTGGCGACTAATTGGCTTGCGTTTTCGTTGGCCGTGGGGTTAGATGCAGAGAAACGGCGAGATTCTCTGTTGTTTTGCTGATCGAGATGCGAAACTCGAATCGGGGACAGAATGTGTTCCAAATTAGCGGAATTTCGTTCCTCAACGACTTCATACTACATTGGATTCTTGGTATAATTTTTAGCAAATAGTCGATACTGTGCTTGATAATATCAGTGATAAAAGATATGTATGTAGAGAAAATGTTAAATAAATAGAACGAATTTTATCAATTTCTGGCGATCGACGAGATCGAGAACCTTCGTATGGTATCCTGATTCATGCGTCACTTTTGTTAGGTACTCAGCTTCCATCTTTTTTTACTACTAATTTCAATTAATACTTAATTTTTCAATTCCAAATTAAATTTATCCAAGCAGTTTGCAATTTAATTTCATATTTATGTTACCTAGATATTGCAAAAAGTTTCAAATAATTAACAAACTTTTTCTGTGATTCGAAGTTATATTTTTCTTCCATCTCAATTGAATTTGAGATCGCAGCTTCTTTCAATTTGAATTCTCATTTATCCAATTTCCATTTAAATTGATTACAACCTCTAGCGATTCAATTTAATTTTGAAAATTCTTCTCCCTTCAGCTTCGATTTCGATTAATTTCACCTTTCTGCAATTTGAATTAATCTTTCTTCAATCTTCTGTCGCGTCTTAAATTTATAACAACCTTTTGCAGTTCGATTAATCGAAACTTGTTCCAGCTCAGAAATTGATTCGATTTTCTGCTAAAAACTGTTACATAATATTACATCAACTTTCATTCGTTCTTTATCTGTGCAATTAAATGTATCACTGTTCAGAAGAAAGATCAACGATATACATAATAATTATTACAACGGGATAGGTAAGGTGTCCATAACGTTCGACAGAAGGATTGTATATAAATTCATATTTATTTATTTGCCATATGAGTTGTCAGCCATTTACATTTACAACGGTGTTTAAATAACGCGACTTTATGCTTTCGGCTGACTGTATGACTTTAAAATATCTAATAATAACGTATGACTTTATTCTTATTCGTTCTTTATCTGTGCAATTAAATGTACCACTGTTCAGAAGAAAGATCAACGATATACAAAATAAATATTACAACGGGATGGGTAAGGTGTCCATAACGTTCGACAGAAGGGTTGTATATAAACCATATTTATTTGCCATATGAGTTGTCAGCCATTTACATTTACAACGGTGTTTAAATAACGCGACTTTATGCTTTCGGCTGACTGTATGACTTTAAAATATCTAATAATAACGTATGACTTTATTCTTATTCGTTCTTTATCTGTGCAATTAAATGTACCACTGTTCAGAAGAAAGATCAACGATATACAAAATAAATATTACAACGGGATGGGTAAGGTGTCCATAACGTTCGACAGAAGGGTTGTATATAAACCATATTTATTTGCCATATGAGTTGTCAGCCATTTACATTTACAACGGTGTTTAAATAACGTGACTTTATGCTTTCGATTCGACGAGGGAGGAACCGAGCTGCGTTCGCCGATAGACTCGCGTCGCGGAACGACGATACAGGTCTAAGAGATCGGTGTTCGTTCCGTTTGTTTTGGACGCGGGCGTCGTCGAGAACACGCGTCGGTAACGATCCCTCGGCTCGCTTAAGTACTGCTTAAGAATATCACAGATCGCAATCCTTTGCGTAAACGCACTAAAATTGTAACAACCTTCGCTAGCCGTCGGCTCACGACGATGAAACGTCTGCGGTTCGCGGAAACGGTTTCTCCGCTCGACGATCCTGGGAGATTACGAGCCTCGCGACGAACAGCGTGCTCTAATTACTGGACTCTGCGAATTTTATGCATTTATTGGACAAATTCGTAAGACAAATATACAGAAACATGAAAACGTTAGAAGAATTCACGAGTATATATTGTTACAGAATTTTCAATTGACGAACACTGTTAAACGAAGAAATACATTGTTGTTCGATCCTCGTTTCGTAGAATTACTCGAAAAAATCTTTATTTTGCATAAAAATCCGCAGTATAGCGAATACTATGACACGGTCGATGGACCGCGGATCTTTAGGCTGGAAAACATGGTCAAATTCTTTTTCATATTTTAACTTCTTTTTCATATTTTAACTTCTTTTTCACGTTTCTTCGTTTTCAAGATTCGACTCTGAGGTTTCGAAATCAAACGCAGGAATTAATTGCGAGTAATATTTTGCTTATGCGACAGTGCGAAACAAAATAGTTTGTATTGCTCGGAAAGAAATGCAGAATCGTTGCTGTTACAGCTAGTTTACGACGAGATATTAAAAACAACGGAGCTTGACTTTCGAAACCCATGACGTACGATTTCAGTTAATTAATTCAATTGATTTCAATGAATTTCGCATAAAGATTCGCAGTCCAATCAGGAAGAACATAAAAACGCTTTTATATAACAAAATACTGATCTTTCTGACGAAATTCAATTCTGTGAAATTCACCAGTTGATCGATATTTTCAAAAATTCACAGCTACGAACAAAATTGTAATCACATGAATTGATTCTGATTCTCAATATAAAATTTTAACAAAATTCTCGAAATAAAATTCTAAGAAATAATATCAAATTCTGTGAAATTCACCAGTTGATTGGTATTTCCAAAAACTCACAGCTACGAATAAAATTATAATCAAATGAATTGACTCTGTTCCTCAATTTAAAATTCTAACGAAATTCTCGAAATAAAATTCTAAAAAACAAAATCAAATTCTGTAAAATTCACCAATTGATTGATATTTCCAAAAGCTCACAGCTACGAACAAAATTATAATCAAATGAATTGACTCTGTTCCTCAATTTAAAATTCTAACGAAATTCTCGAAATAAAATTCTAAAAAACAAAATCAAATTCTGTAAAATTCACCAATTGATTGGTATTTCCAAAAACTCATAATTACGAACAAAATTATAATCAAATGAATTGGTTCTGATTCTCGATATAAAATTGTAACAAAATTCTCGAAATAAAATTCTAAGAAACAAAGTCAAATTCTTTAAAATTCACCAGTTGATTGGTATTTCCAAAAACTCATAATTACGAACAAAATTATAATCAAATGAATTGGTTCTGATTCTCGATATAAAATTGTAACAAAATTCTCGAAATAAAATTCTAAGAAACAAAGTCAAATTCTTTAAAATTCACCAGTTGATTGGTATTTCCAAAAACTCATAATTACGAACAAAATTATAATCAAATGAATTGGTTCTGATTCTCGATATAAAATTGTGACAAAATTCTCGAAATAAAATTCTAAGAAACAAAATCAAATTCTGTGAAATTCACCAGTTTGGTATTTCCAAACACTCGCAGCTACGAACAAAATTGTAATCAAATGAACTGATTCCGATTCTCAACATGAAATTAACGAATTTTCGACAGAGCCGAAGAATTTCAATTTCGTCGAGTCCGATTTCGAGACAGAGGAGCAATTTCTCCGAAAATAAAATTCGCACGAGAATGAATACACGTTAAAAAGAAACACCAGCTGCTCGTCGTGATCGGCCGAGGTTAAACATAAGCCCGTAACATTTCCACCGAGAACCGAGCGAAACGGTGTCACGAATAAAAGCGAAGCATTCGGAAAATCGAAGAGTCTCGTGCCCGTACAGAGGAGAACCGAGCGAAAAATTACGGGTGTGAATGAAAGCGCGCGCTAAATCAGCCTGGTCTCTAATCCCTCGCCGGCGCGTTAATAACGTGTACTCGCGTGAACCAGCCGAGAGCTTGATCCTCGGCCGCTCACCAAAAATCCGCGGGCAGGGAGCTCGTGTCCTGTGGGTGTGTGTAGGTAGTATCAACTAAAACTAAACTGAAAAGAGAGACAGATCGGGGGAACGTTGTTATTTACAGTGTTTATGTTTACAGTAAGAAGAGCGAAGACAATCGGTGCGCGAGAAACTAAATACATAGATCCGCTTCGTAAATGTTTGCAGTTTACGTTTCCTAAAACCCCCCTCTGTCTAACCCCAACGGCCGCCCTCTCCAAACTCCTGCGACGCGCCCTCGCGAATAATTCGTTAATTTGAAGCTGCCAGCTCGAACTATACCGGAAATTAGATCTCCCCTCCCCACCCCTCTAAATCCACGGAAATGTCCCGACGGTTCCCTAATTTTCTCTCGATATAGGACATCCGCTTCGTTCTCGAAATCCACGAAAAGGTCGCGACGATCACCTAACTTCCTTCCGACGGACAACCCCTCTCCTCTATAAATCCTTGAAAATCTTGCAATCTTGCCTCAATTTTCTTTCGATGGCCAAAAACGTTCCCTTCATTCTCTAAATCCACGAAAATGTCGCAACGATCGCCTAATATTTTCATCCGACGACCAAGGACATCCCCACTCTCTTCTTTACATTTACGGAAACGTTGCAACATCGATCTTCTAGTTTTCTTTTGCCAACCAAGGATATCCCTTTTCTTCTGTAAATCCATGAAAATCTTGCAACGATCCCTTTAATTTTCTTTCGGTGGCCAAGGACATCCCCACTCCCTTCTATTCATCTACGAAAACGTCGCAACGATCTTCTACTTTTTTTTTGCCAGTCAAGGATATACCTTCTCCTCTGTAAATCCATGTAAATCTTGCAATGATCCCTTAATTTTCTTCTGGTGATCCAGGACATCCCCCCGCTCCCTTCTTTAAATCTAAAAAAACGTCGCAACGATCTTCTAATTTTTTTTCTCTTGCCACCCAAGTTTAATCCCTTCTCCTATATAGATCCATGAAAATCTTCCAACTGATCTTCTGATGAACTAGGACATCCCCCTGTTCCCTTCTTTAAATTTAAGAAAACGTCGCAACGATCTTCTAATTTTTTTTTCTCTTGCCTCCCAAGTTTAATCCCTTCTCCTATATAAATCCATGAAAATCTTCCAACTGATCTTCTGATGAACCAGGACATCCCCCTGTTCCCTTCTTTAAATTTAAGAAAACGTCGCAACGATCTTCTAATTTTTTTTTCTCTTGCCTCCCAAGTTTAATCCCTTCTCCTATATAAATCCACGAAAATCTTCCAACGATCCCCTAATTTTCTTTTAACGATCAAGAACATCCCCATCCAATTTTTTAAATCCACGAAGACATCGTAACGGTATCTTAGTTTTCCTCTATCGTCCAAGGACACGTCCTCCACTCTCTAAGTCCACAAACACGTCGCAACGATCCTCTAATCTCCTTCTGCCACCCAAGAATATACTCCACGAAAATCTCGACAAGGACAACCCATCTCCGTTCTTTCCAAATCCACCGAACCCTCGCAAAGAGCACGTAATTTTCTTCATCTATCCAAGGACCTCCCCTCTCCCCGTTTCCTAAATCCACAAAAAACGTCGCAACGATCGCCTAATTATCTTCTGCTATCCAAGGACCTCGCATCCCCTTCTCTAAATCCAGAAAAAACGTCGCAGCGATCCCCTAATTTTTCATCTGCTGTCCAAGGACATCTACCGATAAACGCTGCTCTCGCAAACTGAACAATCGAAGCGCTTTTGTAATTTGCTTATCCTGCGTTGTGTACGTGTGTGTTTACTCGTGTGTACGTCATCTTCAAATATATTCCTTTTTTTTTGTCTTTTTTACTTTTGCTTGTTGTCATTCACTCGCTTTCTTTCTTGCAATCTTTCTCTTACTCTCTCTCTCTCCCTATTTTTCTCACATTCTGGCACGCATACTCTTTCATTCTCTCGATCGAGTCTGATGTCCCGTATAATTTTCTTTTTTATTGCTTTCACTAGAGTAAATCCTAAGGTCCTCTAAAGCGTCGTAGGGGAGAGATATTAACGTTAATGGCGCGATATCGAACGAGTGTTGCGTCGACCGATTAACGGCCGGCACCCACGCGGTCGTCCTCCTGGATCTACCGGAACACCAAGACGATCCCAGCGAACGATCATCTCCAAGATCGAAGGACCGAGGACTCGATCGTTGCTCGTCCTCACGCGACGGCTAACCTTTCGCTTCGATCGTTGACGTAGAGTTCCTGTGGCAAACGAAATTCTTGCAATTAGGGCGATTTTGAATTGGGGGAGGGGGGTGTAGCGGATTTATTGGGTTGGCAAGAAAGTAATTTCGGTTTGCACCAATAGATAGCGTTATGTTTGCATTGTCATTCTTTTGTTAAGATTATAATTTTTTTGTCATCAGCTTTGGTATTTTATGTTACTATACACGTTTATGTTTACAATTGATTGATATTTCCAAAAACTCACAATTACGAACAAAATTGTAATCACATGAATTGACTCTGATTCTCGATATAAAATTGTAACAAAATTCTCGAAATAAAATTCTAAGAAACAAAATCAAATTCTTTAAAATTCACCAGTTGATTGGTATTTCCAAAAACTCACAGTTACGAGCAAAATTATAACCAAATGAATTGGTTCTGATTCTCGATATAAAATTGTAACAAAATTCTCGAAATAAAATTCTAAGAAACAAAATCAAATTCTGTAAAATTTACCAATTGATCGATATTTCCAAAAACTCACAGTTACGAATAAAATTATAGTCAAATGAATTAACTCCGATTCTCAATATAAAATTAATGAATTTTCGATTGATTGAATTATTGAATTTTATGTTACTATACAGGGTGTTACTAGAAAGGCAGTACAGTAACGTCTCCCTAACTGACGCTCAGATTCTGCTCAAAAATGGACAATTTGGGAAGAGGAGATACCATTATTCGAGCCTCGCAGCTCGTTTTCATAGTTGTTGACAATTCGTGACTATAAAATTGAACCGCAAGGATCGAACAAATCGTCTCTTTTCTCCCTAAATTGTCCATTTTTGTGGACAATCTGTGCGTCAATTAGAGAGACATTACTGTTCCATCGGACAGGTGGTGATACTACGTGCGAAAATTCTCGGCGGCCTCGTGCTAGCCGAGCTTATTTCTCATTGGTCAGTGTTTTTTAAAATTAATAACTCGTAAACGAAGCCGCGGATTGCAGTTTCGCTAAGGAAAAAGTTACTTCAAATGATCTCAATAATCATTTATTTCCCGGGATTAACCCTTTGCACCATTAAAATTGTTACATCAAGTTCCAAGATAATTTTTATGTTACAAAAGTCTAGACGTAAGAAATTGTTAGAAGTCTAATTGTTGTACGAGTCGCGAGACTATAAATTTCGTATGCATAAAATGCACTTTGTCATATAAAATGGAAATACCGTGAGTCAGAAAAGTTAATTTAGATTTACAGTTAAAATGGCTTCGAGTGCAAAGGGTTAATTTTGAGACATCCCGTGTAGCTCGAGCAATATAATAAATCCGCTATCGGGCGTGCGAGAAAGGGATTCTGGAGTATGTTTTGGCGAGTACTTGAACTGATTCCCTCCAGCGCAGGATCGCTCGACAAACGCTGCAAAAATAATTGGACCCCGTTGGTCGATCGGGTCTCCAACTGCCAATACGCCAACCGCAAGTTCCGAGCCGCGTCCGAATAGTCGACAAACTGTGGTTCCGTGAATGAGGTCTGACTTAAGCCGGCGAACGATCGTCCTTCGCGCCTGATCATCACCAGGTGGTGCACTTATTCGGGGGGTTCATCTTGGTTCCGATCGGGCAGCGGAACGCGTCCGCGAATGCTTGGGAGTTCATCATTATACCGTTGACTCTGCGCAACATCATTTCGAAAACACATGCTGTACTCTCCACGAAAAGCTTTCTTCTTTCAACGAAATTTCGTTGGAGCTGTAGAAAAATCTACAGCTTCTAAAAATTCTATTTTTTTCTATTTTTCTACAGCTTTTCGAAACGCTGTAGAGAAATGGAATAAATGTTATAGAAATTATTTCTAAACTTGCAAATAATATATTTTTATAAATGAGAAGACGTTACAAACATTTCCAAGACGTCGAAAAGAAACGAATTTCTTCTTGTATAATTATACAAGAACTTGCGAATAATATATTTTTACAAATGAGAAGACGTTACAAACATTTCCAAGACGTCGAAAAGAAACGAATTTCTTCTTGTATAATTATACAAGAACTTGCGAATAATATATTTTTACAAATGAGAAGACGTTACAAACATTTCCAAGACGTCGAGAAAAGAAACGATTTTTCTTGTGTATA